AGTAAGTAAGTAAGTAAGTAAGGTTCTGTGGCGGACAAGACCAGGCGGATATGTACATATCTCGCTTGAAGGAAGCCTTAACCTAGTGCAGGCCCCAGATGTCACGCCCAGTGCGGTGATGGTTTGTCCAGGCTACAAAGTATAAGGTCTCTCGCATCAGTAGGGCTTGCACCGTAAGTAGGCTCAGGGTCCCAGATTTAGCTTCAGATGGAGGCACCTTGCGACCTTCACATTGGATCTTTAACCGTATGGTTCTGTCGTTGCAGTGAATCGGCCCCTGGTGTTGCGCTCTTCAACTTGAGTGGCCTTGGTGTTCTTCTAGACATCAAATTCGATGCGCTGCTTGCGAAATGCAACATCCTGAAGTGACTGTGGTTTGTATATGGCATGTTCCAGGTTGGCGATGCACTACGACAATGCCGAGATCACTCTGAACGTGAACATTGGCGGGACCTGGGAAGGCAGCGCACCTCCCAACTCCCCCGGTCCTCTTTTCTCAGAACCTCCAAGCCCCCCGACTTCGGTTGGGCACAGCCAGGGAGTTACCAAGGCTGAGGTTTCCTTTGGGTGTCAGTACAGTACTGTATATAGGTATTTGTAAATTCATACTATGTTATAGTGTATTATGATGGTATCCTTTATTGCGCTGTGGAAGGCGGCCAGGTGGCATTCTATGGCTTGGCCACCCGAGAGGAGACGGAAGCCATCGAGGCGCTTTGGACATTTCCAGTCAGCTAATTAGGTGGGAATCCGGCCGCAACCATGCCTGCTTGATTTTTTTTCAGCCGCAAGTTCCACCCTTGAAGTTCTTGGTCCTTTTCTCGCTTTTTCGTCGAAGGAAGGTTCACTCCTGATTTCGAGGCTTTGCCCAGATATCCCGCCCGCGTGCGCCACCAGATCTGTTTGGAAGGACTAGAAGGTCGCGGCCGTGTACTTTGTTTCGGCATGGGCAGCCCCGCGTCAGCTGCCTTTGCAAATCTTGTGTGCCTACCGCCAAGAAACACACGAGGCATAGATCGATAGTTCTGGCCGAAAAGAAAAGAAAAACCTGACTTGCATCATAGCCATATAGGGCTTAGGGCCTATGTAGCTAATATGCCCTATAAACCCCTGTGCTTTGCCAGGTGGCTCTCCATCGCGGGCATGGCGTCCTCCACGCTGGCCTGGAGCGCCGGAAATTTGTCTGTAGGAATCTTTACTGGGGGTTTAGGGTTTAGTCCATCCTGAGTTCACTGGATGATTTTCCACAGAGCTGTCCTCCGCAATGTAATCTTAGCGTGTTTAGACGGGGGTGTCGGGGAAAAAAGCATTGGACCTTGTTACATAGGGGCTTCACGATCTTAAACCTACAGCCTACTCAACATGCCAGAAGCTCGGAATAATCGGCTCCCGCCAAAAAGAAAGCCTGCAAACCGTATATAAACCCCTTGAGAGAACTTCTTGCAAAATCGTCTGAAGCCCCTAAAACCCCAAACCCAAACCGACTTTCACGCCGGCTTCTTGCTCCCCATAGACCTCGCCTGGCTTGTCTGAGGTGTGAGTCCGTGAAAGCCTTAAACCCCAAGCCCTAAACCCCTAGAAACCCTATAAGCCCTTTAAACCCTACAAACCCTATAAGCCCTATAAACCCTAAACCCTAAACCCTAAACCCCCCAAGGAAAAAAAAACCCTATAAACCCCTGTTTGCTTCAGCTTTCTGCTCCAGGAGCTGCATAAGGCGCAGCCGATCACCCAGGGACGTCGGCACAACTTGATCATGTGGTGCAGGTGCCATGCAGGGGTGCGGGGGGAGGTGCTAGAGTGAGCTTTTAGGGTGTATAAGGTCTTAGGATATGTTTCGGATTTGAAGCTCATGTTGTGGTCTAGGCACCGGAGTTTGGGCTTTAAGGCTTTATGAAAGGGATTCCATCCGGGGGTTGGGCGCAGGGGCCTCAGGCTTTGCAGTTCATTGGGGCTTTAGGGGGGAGTTTAAGGTTCAGGGTTTGGGGCTAAGTAGGTTAGGGGCTTTTGGGCTTTGTCTTGCTCTCCGTCTCGGTTTAGGATGTATCGGATTTTCGGCCATTCGTGGCTTTCGCTGGAGGTTCAGAGTGGGTTCCTAGTATCTTTGCGTCAAATTTGCGATGGTTCAGGCGTTTGTCGGTAGGAGGCTCCGTTTGAGTGGCTCAGATCCCAAAACCCCAGAGCATTGAACCCCCAAACCAGAAACCTCAAACCCTGACCCCCCTGCAAAAAAATAAGGAGTTTCATGTTTATGCCGGGCTTTAGGCAGCAGGGTTGCGGACCAAGCAGTTCCAGAAAAGGGTTGTGCAAGAGTGGGTGCTGCAAATCTCCCCGGAGCCACAAAGAGAGAAGGTCCAGCGGAATTCGCAACGATCTCTGCCCGATGTGCTTCGAGCAACCACAAGAGCCTCAGCAGAGCTATGTGCAGGATTGTTGACGGATCCGGGCTTGGGACAAATGACAAAAGTCAGCTTGGCATCGGATATGCTTAGGGTTTCCGATGGCTTCTCATCGGTTAGCTTTTAAATTGCTTGAGTCTTGCTTCACTCTCCAAGCCTACTATGCTGATTTAAGCGAGACGGCCGCTTTGCTAGAGTCAGAGTGGCCTTAGAACTGATAAAGAGGCTGAACAAGATAATGTTGATGTTGCTTGCGGTAATGAAGCATTTCACACGGCAATACACTGGCATTGTCGGGTTGCTTTGCCACAGCATGAAGACGGCCCCCGCCGCATCCCAAACCACGAACCTTAAATCTGCATTTTTCGGGCGGCAAGGGAATTCTACATTGCTTCGGACCCAACAAGAGCCGACATGGGAATATCACAATATGAGTTGCTCGAACCTATACCGTACACCCAAACAGTTGGATTCACCTTGTAAGGCCTCATTGGTAAGATGCTGCTCTGGCTAACTTTCTACAAGCCCCCATAAAATCCTGCCAGCGCCCTTCTAAAGCGCTTGGAACACCGTTGTGAGCGTCGATTAGCCATAAACGCTCTCAACGGCGAGGTACTGCCGACGAACAAGTTCTTCCACGAAGGCTTTTCTGTGCCACCCTGCAGCCCTGCAGTGGTGAAGCGAGAAATGTCTGAAGACCTCTACGACTAAGATAGGGGCCTAAATAACTTTGGGGGTTCCTGATTGTAAGTATAGCGTAAACGGCCCCGAAGCCCTATTCAAGTTCTTAAGGCCCCTACATTAGCCCTCTGCATCAGGGCTGAGCTGTTGACATGGTGCGACGAAAACAGCTGGTTTCTCTTGCTAAGCCTCTGAACTCATTTGCATGAGCCTCAACTCAAACTCTGAACTACCTATCAAACACTTGATTCCAATCTTGGCCTTCCGAGAGCCTCGGTGGCTTACAGCTTCTCATCTTAGCGCACCCATGGTGCACTCCAGGCCTCACTTCTTGGGTGCGGCCTGAAACGCTTAAGGGCTTCATGAGTTTAGGGTCGCTTCTTGGGTTTACGCGCTACGGGGTCAAGGGCTCAGGGGTTTAATGGGTGTAGGCCCAGTTAAGGATTTCGTTTCCAAGTAATGCATCGTAGTCTCTTCGTCAACAAAGACCTCGTCTCTTGTGGACCCGATCTTCATCGAAGATGTTTCTGTTGAACGAGGCTTAGGCTTAGGCCTAGGCATGGTTAAGCTCTCTAGCCCTCTTTGCCACCCTAAACCCTAAGCCTCTGAGTTGACAGACGCCTGCCCAAAAGGGAGCTGAAAAGGGTCTCGAATTTCTGGGAAAGGGGTGTCGAAGGTTTTGTTTAGGGGTTTTGGGAGGGCCGCAGAGGCTGAAGACCCAAAGTGTAGCGCAGGGTCTGAAATATGAGGAGTACTTGTTCCATAGTATTCCCTTATAGTCTAAATAGTCCTATGCCGAAGGACCCCATATGGGTAGTTCTCTAAAGTAGGGTCCCTTTTGGAGTCCTCTTTACGTACTATATTGGGGACTTAAAAAGGTATCCGAATCTGGAAAACTACCCAAATAATGAGGGGGGGTTCGGGCTCCAGGGTTTGCTTGCTGTCGAAGGCGAAAACTGCGCGAATCAGGTGGGGCAGCGCCCCAGCCCCCTGAACCCACTTATAGAACCCCTATAATTAGTACCTTTATTACTTGTCACGCTTGTAGAACATCCTAAATCCACTTGAAGGTTCTCTATAGACCCCTACAGTTGAGGTTGCAGGTTTCCGTAGGGCCGGAGACCTGCTGGCAGTTCCAGGTTTGCCTTTTAGGGCGTAGCTGAAGGCTAAAGCCTCAAGAAAGCACCTTGGTTGCTCGAGGCAACTTCCCTCAATGACTCTGACTCTGATTTCCATAACCCTGAAAAAATCTTGCTGTTCTGGCCTCATTGGGCGCAAGTCAGTTTGCGGATTCACGGTCGCACGTTACGGCTGCGGTCTCCAGTTTGGGGGAAAGTCTAGTATGGCACAGCAGGACCAACATCCGCTAATTCGCCACCTTATGACAGAACCCTCTCAGCGAGAGAACAAGTCATTTAAATTCTCCTCGAGTCGCGAGGAATGCCTGGAGTCAGTGCTAAGGTGTTCATGGTCTTGCAAGCCCCAGTTTCGAAAAGGTATAGGGCGATATGTTGGGGTTCAGGGCTTAGCTTTTCAGGTCTTTGAGGGTTTAGGATTTCCTAAACCCTAAACCCTAAGCCTTATAAACCCTAAACCCTAGACCCTATAAACCCTAAACCCTAAACCCTTAGGTTTCAAACGAGCTTTGCCACAGGCCTTTCGCTTGCTGCCTCGCCTGGGCGGCCTTGGCCGCCGCCCACGGCCCGGCATTGCAGAGCGTCGAGGTCTGCCTAAGCCTTTAGGGCGGTTTAGGGTTTTTTTTGCTAGGGCCCTGTGCGCGCACGTCGTCGCGCGCACTTTGGCGCCATCTCAAGATTAGGTTTTCGCAGCTCCCGGGATATCTTTAAATAAATTTCGTGAGGGTTCGGATTAGGGGTTAGGGTTTAGGGATTTAGGGTCTTAGGGCTCGACGAGTGGCATTGCAGATTTCAAGGTCTGCTCTAAGCCCTCATTAGGTTCCCAGCAGAGGCTCTTGCAGGCTGGATGCAAAAGGGTCTTAGGGCTTCAGGGGTTTAGGGCGAAGTGGAATCGGAAAGCCTGTTGCAAAAAAAAGGTTTATGTGGGGCTTGGTATGTGTGGTCTAGCCACAGTCTTTGTCTAAGTTTAGGTCTTAGTCTTGTATTACAGAGCATGGCATAAGCAAGGCATAGGCTAGTCTAGTCTAGTCTGAGTCTGGTGTAGTGTAGTCTAGCATCGTATCGTTCAGTAAACTATAGTACACTTGAGTACAGCAGTCTTAGTGTAGTGTGATGTGTATAGTGACTAGTATAGTGTAGTATAGTGGAATATAGTATCGCATCGTATAGTACCGTATAGTATAGTGCAGTATAGTTCCGTCTAGCTGTATGTGGGGACCCGGGCTTTCCAAGTCCGACTTTTGGTTTGAATGCCAGCGGTGTTCCGTTCAACTAGAGGACTACCGCAACCCGAAAACCAGCATTGCAAGGAGGCAAACAATGCAGCAATGCAGGAGGCAGAAAGATTGCGTTTAGGATCAATGCGAGGATGTGAGTCACAAGCCACGCGAGATCGCGCACGGAACCTGTAGAACCACGTAGTTACTGGATTTTGGAGACCTGTTCGAGTCCTACCAGTCGCTACGTGGCATCCTAATAGGAGTCTTACGGAACTTTTATAGGATGACGAACGACCTTTGGCAGGTTGACTCCCGCGCTGAGCTGGGTCCAGAGGTGCCTGGATCAGCTTACGTAGGGTCCTGAAGGGAGTGTTGGGTATACTGTATACTGCTACTGGGCGGATCTCAGATTGCAAGGTTCTGCAGGAGAAAATTAGGAGAAGTAAGTGTAGAATGATTTGGGCTCTGCGAGTTGCTCACGCTTGGGGCGTGTCAGGACTAGGTTGCTTTCCCCATGGCAGGTTGACTACGGTTCCGAGTTGGAACCGGAGGTGCCCAAGCCTGTTTGGGACAGAAGTCTTGGGGGCATCCAACATATGGTGCAGTTGAAAGTGTCGCAGCTGCGTGTTTGGAGCTTCCGCGCTTCGGTAGTTCTGAAAGTTGTCTTCGTGACTCGGTAGGGCACCTTCTCCATACCGTCCCAAGAGTTCATTCCCTTAGGGCATACACGGATGATAATGCCACCTTCGGTCCTCGGGTGACATGGGGCAACCACTGCCCACTGATCAACGATCAGGGTCTGCCGCAGCTGTGCCAACTGAGAAGCCCCGGCCCTGCACACCTCGAAGCCAGCCACAAAATGACGACGACGACGAGAAGAAGCACAAACTCAGCGACTACGACCACCACCTAGCCGACAGCAGCCACTACGACAACTCGGTCAGAGCGGCACTGGCAGCAACATGGAACATCATCAGCAAACCCCTAACAGGCCACAAAAACCCTGGGTGGAGTTGAGGCTGCTCTTTTTCAAGAGCTCCCTGCAAGCCAGCTCGGAAGAGTAGGAAATATAGGTGGGATTAAGGAAGGAGCAGTGCAGAATGGTGACTGCATGCAAACCAGGTTCAAGTACAAGCTGAAGCTGGGTTTGTAAAACACCATGGTGTTCGTAGTAGAAGCTCGTACGGGTCGCGACTCGGAGTCGGAGAGGCTGTCCAAGCTGTACCACTTGTCTCGTCGGTCGTCTATCTAGTGTTATGTTTTCTGCTCACTCATTGCCATCCTGAGTTTTCTGGTGTTCTCTTTGGCAGGTTGGCTCCAGTTTCGACGTGGATCCGGAGGTTCCCCAGCATCTGAGGGTTTCGTCTTTGAGGTGTCGCTTGACAGGGGCTGGCGGCCGCGGCTCCTGAGACATTGGCATTCAAGGGTAAGCCGAACATACCAGTTGGTGTCTCGGTTTTGAGTTGTCAGGGCTGGTTCTCTGAATCGTAGCTTCTCGGGGCTCAGGCCCGTAGCGGCCCATTAGTGAATGCCAGAGTTGGTCTAGGCCTCGAGCTCTCATAGCCAAAGTTGCTGATCTGCTGCTTCTTGCTCAAAAGTATCAAGGCCGTTTCCCTGAACGCACTGTAGAGCTCCCCATTGAGGCCGAGTCTATTTTAACAACCTGCCTTTGCACGGAAGGCCGGTCGCAAGAGACACCGTGAAAGAGCTGGGAGTCCAGATCGCACCAGCCACGAATGCATGAATGTCAACATAAGACTGATCAGAAGCAAAAACAGTTGCCGTATTCGTCTGTAAAAACTATTGAATAGTACTGTACTTGTTGGTGGTTCAGCTTAGGGGACTCTTGTGTGGGATTTTGCTGGTGCCTCAGCACGGACAAGTGCTTGGTGACTTCGGCAAGCACGCAGCTGTGGGATGCATGATGGTAACATGTCAGCATAACTTGGATGTTGAGAAGCAACTCAGCCACAACCCGAAAACCATTCTGGTTGCTTCCTGTACCAACTGCGAGCAGGGAACCGTAAAGACTGTAGGTTTGGCAAGATCGGCAAGCATGTAAGCCTATGTTCAACCTGAACCCTTCGCCCCAGTGAGCTTGGTGCCGTCTTTGTGCGACCCCCGCCATGCTAGTAGGAAGCCTGAACGATAGAGACGGCTGAAGGGTGCCCCTGTCTGTGTGGCAGGACATGAACCAACAGATGTGTGGAGGCACTAGCAGGCTTACGCTTAAGCAGACGGTCCTGCAAGTTCGGACGATGCAGACGGAGCCACCAACCAGGGATCTTGCACACCCTCTACAGTGAGCCAGAAGTTTACAATTTCTTGCCATCGCCCCAAAATGCCCTAAGCCCACCCTGAACCCCAAAACCCCAAAACTGTAAGCCCGAAAAGGCCCCAAACGCTGAATGCGAACCCCTGAGCCAAGGAGGTCGGCAGCCCTTCTCCGAACTGAAAACCGGGCAGGAGCTCGAGGTGGTAGCGAGGAGCAGACTGGATATGGATAGATATATATATATATATGTGTGTGTGTGGATGTATAAATTTATATACACATATACACACATACCTCGCTGGGTGTGTACTGAGCATGCGTTTATGTATAAGAGCGGTTGATAGAGATCCACACATCCATCGCTTTGCACAACCGACGCGAGGCCCAAGGGCTTCGAATTTGATGGAGGGACCTCGAGATTCGCTGTTCAAGGCCGCAGAATCAACAGTCACTGCAGCAACACCGCCACCAGGAGCAATAAGAAATGGACAAGGGTCACAACTGTAACAACGGTGACAACCCGAGCTGCAGTACTGACAACAGAAAGCAACGCGCACCACAGACGAAAGGATAACGATGGAACGATTTCACCGATTTCGGCACGGCACGTCTCCAGGACTTCGCATCCGATGCCAGCCTTTTAGATGCAGAGGAGGCCCAGGTGCGGCAGACCTGCTTCCTACTAGACTAGATCTACAGGCTTTTTGGGGGTTCGACATTTTGGGTTTAGGCGGGTTTAGGGCTTAGGGTCTCCAAGCAGAGTCTGGGTTCAACAAGAGTCTCCAAATTGCAAGGAGGAGCGAAAACCATAGAGATCACCATGAAAAACGGCGCGACCTGAGAAAGGGCCTCCCCTCCATTTTGGGAACCTTAAGGACAAGGACTTCTGGGGTTTTTTGGATTCAGGGATTCCTGGGCCTTCGGCGCAGGAGTCTCACGGAAGAGCACACGCCGAGAAGGTCACGAAGAAGAAGAAAAAGAAAAAAAAGAAGGCCCTGGCGAAGAAGTGTGCAGCTCGATGGCATGAGAGCTTAGCTGGTAATGATCTTGCGTCACTCTCTGGGCTTCAGGGGCAGGCGACTGGATTTCAGAGCCGGGCTGCTTTTCTTCCAGCTGGTTGGTGAGCTTCGGATGCCTCAAGGACAAGCTCGTCAAACCGTTGCGATACACTTCATTGGCCTGCTGGTCTCTTCCAAAACCTCCGACTGCACGCCTTGGCGCCCTCCCAAACTTGCTCTGAGGTCGGCACACACCTGACCAGCTGTCCGTCTGATGGCTCCGACCCGTGCAAGACCAAATCGGCAGGTCGGCCAGCTAGACAGCAATGCCTGTCAAAGTAGGTGGGGAGAGAGGGCTAGTGTTAGAGGGGCTGTCTGGTACGGTGTGTTCACAGCTCCCAAACCCTTGAACTGCAGGCAACTGCATCAACGTCTTTCACTCCTGTGGCGATGACGTCCTGAAACAGTGCGGACTGGACAAGACACCTGGTCGGCAAGAACTGCTTGGACTGCTTGGCGAGTCGATGTCAATGACGCATAGATACCCCTAAGCTGATAATAAGCTGTGGGTACATGTCCCATGATGCGAAGGAAAAAGAAGTGCACCAGCCTCAGCGGTGGAGCCTGCTACCTCCAATGCACCGGAAGAGAGCTCTTTGGCGTCGCTTGGCACTTTAGCTCTGTGATAGGGCTTTTCAGATTTCGGGCGTCGCTTCCTCTCCGTAGGTGCAACGGGTCCAAAACTATGGCGCCGACACGTAACATCCAGTAACCCAAGTCTTGCACCGAATTAGGATGCCCGGCGACCCCTAACCTGCTGATCCTGTATTGTTGAACTCTAAACTTCAAGGAACCTGGAAGATTAACCACCCCTGTACTGCGTAATCACACGAGACAGAGGGAGAGAGACTTTACAGCTCTAGCTTGACGCTTCAAATCCTGTATCCGCAATGTCGCCGGTGGGCTTGCAGGTCGGGGGGTCCCTTATGCCCGGAAGTGAAAGAGAGTGATTAACCATCGCGATCAAGACTCCAAGACCCTAGAAGCCAGAAGCTTCGCCAACATGCAAAAAGAAGCCCCTAAACCGCGAAAACCATGGATCCACTAGCATTGCAGGAGTTCGCTCACGAAGGGTGTTGCCGGCTACAGCCCCGCAGACTCCCGTAAAGCCCCGTGCTAACCTAACGAGCAGGCTCCAATATCATCGTTGGGTCACAAAAGTCCCCTTCAGTTTCAGCTGCACTCAGGCCTCTCTATTGCAAGCTGTCACCATCTCTATATCAGTTCTGCCTGGTGTATCTGCGATTTTGACAAGGCAGGAGCAATATCCCAAGGCTTTCCTACAGTGGCAACACGGCGCCCAGTAACACCCTCATGCATGGAACCCAAATCCACGGGAAAGAAACCAAGCCCTCAGCCCCAAAACCTGTTCAAACCTGCCAGGTCAAAAACGCAGGACTTATAATATAGAAGCCTAAACAATTATCAATATTATTCCTTAAGAGCTCCTTATTTTGATTATACTAGAATGGAGAGCAAAACCCTAGTTCTAATCACCAAGGTCCCTACATTACTCAAAAACAGGCACATCTGTAAAAGCGCCCGGCCTTTTTGAGGAAATCCTACAAGGTAATCCCAAAAAGGAACTACTACGGAGCCTATAGAGAGCCCATCTAACCCCTTAAACAAGGAGAAGTGCGAGTCCCAGCCAAAGGAGCGGTGCAACGGTGGCTATGCCTCTCGGCAAGCGGGAGGTTTTGGGGGGCTCCTAGGGCCTTTTTTGTGGCTACTAAGGACTTAACGTGGGTTTCGGGGTAAGTTTCAGGATGTTGGCTTCAGGGCTAGATCCGGGGGTTGGGTTTACAGTTTAGAGTTTGAGATTTGGGGGTTAGGTTTCTTTTGTTCAAGAGTTTACTCTGGATATGGGCGGCTTCCAGCTCAGGTTCGGGGTTTTAGAGTTGCCTGGGCTCTGGGAGGAGCAGCAGCAACTGCCTTCAGCTGAGGGCTTTTAGGAGAGATGCTGGACCCGATACATACACAAATCGATGATTCACGGTGGTGGTGCTGAAGAAGATGCCTCACGATGAGCACGGCATTGATGAAGGTGATGGCCCATGCTCTCAGGATCCTTAAAGGGAAGATCCGGGAAGCGAGGTGCTCGTGTGGTGGTTGTTCCTGAACAAAATATACATACACATACATACATATATATATATATGAAACGGCTTTGGGGTCTCTGCCCAGCCCGTTGGCATGTCCACCTCCCTGGTGGACTACTTGACTTGTCATGGCTCTTTTCGACCGGATAGAACAAGACCTGCGGGCTATAGGAACGTGCCTCAGAGTCTGCTAAATCTCTAGAGATTAGAGCCCTTCAGGTACCTTAGGTCCCGCGTGGTCGAAGCGATGGGTTGCCTGAGGTCAGCGATGGGCTGTCTGGCATGTCCTGTGACTTGGCGCAAACGGCTGAATCTTCTAAACTCTCTGTTTGTTTGAACTCGTCGCTGCAGTCAGCACTAGAAGCCTCTTGCTTTCTACGCACAACATAAGCACCAAGCTCTTAAGCTGCCAGGCCATGCTCCTCACAGCTATTCAGGTCGTCTCTTTTCTGTAGACTGTAGTCTCTCCCACCCTTCTGTACAGCCCATCCTTGCATTAGACCGAGACTTGTTTCCTTCCTGACCGGGGGCTTTTTCGAACTCCAGCAATTCACCCCCTTTTTGCTGACGAAGTTTCAGTTTCCTCTTGTTGGCCCTCACGGCTGACACCTGTTCTGTTTGCTTGCAATTCGGGGGGGATTCCAGGATGCCCCAGCCACAGGATAGAGGTTTCAGGGCAATCCGTATGGTACGGATGCCTGCATGTGCATATGTGTGTATGTGTATAAGTATGTGTGTGTGTGTGTATATATATATATAATATATAGTTAATATAGAGGATAGAGAGAGCGAGGTGCACATGCATGTATTTGCACGTGCTCTATGTAGATACAAGACAACGATTCGGACGCGTGTAAACTATGTGTATATGTCTATCCTTCCGATCGACAGAGTAGCAATAAACCAAGTCTGCATGGTCCCGCCGAGGTATGATCTCGCCCTTGGAGGCAACACGCTGTATTGATGCAGGCACCTGTGCGCTGCCGGAGGAGTAGGGCTTTGAGCGCGGGAAGTCAGAAGGGAGCCAAAGGTGCAAGTGATGCCTTGATCTCAAAAGGTCTTGGTGCTATAGGAGGGCTTAAGGCTTAGGGTGTAGGGCCCGCACCAGAAGTCTGAGATTTCCCTCCCACACTCCTGCTTCCTGGACTTCCAGCCCTGCCCACAAGATTGGACGTCCTTGTATTGAAGCACTGTAGCAGTGACCTCTGGTGAGTTTTTCCGCGCACATGCTAAAGCCTTGATGAACGCTGGATGCGGCTCGATTGCTTGAGCTTTGCTTGAGTCCCTGCCGTCGAATGCAACGTTGCTACGCCCCGGAGGGAGCTCACATACCGGAGTTTGGCATTGAGGGATAAGGTCGACCAAGGTGCAGTGCAGGAAATCGTGACGAGGCAGCGCGTAACACAAAATTATCATGTTCCACCACATGTGAACAACTCAAGCAGCTGGTAGAATCTAGAACATGTGGCTTGCCAGAGTTGAACCCTCAGGCTAAACTTGAACCTCAACCCACCCCAGACACTCACCTGTCTCCTTGTATACTTCTTCGGGCCATCGAGCGCAGATGGTCAAGCGGAAGGCAGGGTGTTGCTGGAAAGTCAGTGCTACAAGTTGCACTTGCGGCCGGCAATTGAACAAAGTGAAGCTTTGAGAGTTTATGCAAGCATGTGAGAATCATCCAACGTTTTTTGTCATTCTGGATTCCACTGATGTTGTTTGTACTTCTCCTTCCTGTAGTACTGAGCAGTGATATTCTGCTCGGGGAACTGATCAGTGTCGCATGGTTTCTGGAGACAGATAAAATGCCCCACCCTACCATCCCAAATGTGATACATGTTCAAGCTCTGGCTGCTAGAGCTCGCACGTCATGGCTTGTGAGAAACCTTGGGACAATTCACGAGAATCCTTCTGTAATGGCATGTAGCAGATCTGCGGGCGCAGGCCGAGCCCAGAACCGGCATATCTGAAAACCGAAACCCTCAACCTTCATCTTATAAACCCTTCACACCTAAACTTTAAGCTGGAATGCTACCAAAAACACTCCCAGCTATACTCCATGGGGGGGGGGGGGGGGGGCGCTTTGCAAGAGGCTTCTGCCATGGACAGCGTCGAAGCCCCCGCCGCGGCCCGGCCCTGAGCCCACGGCTTCGGGCTGCCGGCTCGGGCTCGGCGATTTCGATCTCTGGGTCCTTCTTGGATACAATT